GCCACCAATTAAAATGAAAGCTATAGTAACATTTTCTAAAGTAAAGAATTATTTCATTAGCAAAAATTCTTCACTCAATTCATTTGAAAACTAAGTGAACCTCCTCAAGTTGCTTACCTTTTGGTGGTACAATCCCTCCATTTGTGAAATGGTGTGTTGCTGCATCATCTTAGATGTATCTCTATTGCTCCTTCAACTTGAGAGATTTCAGAAAATGTGGCATATACAGACTGAAAATTTCCTTTTAAAGCTCTGCTCTGTAAAGGGTGCTACTTATTCTGAAAAACAAACAAACAAACAACATGGGGAGGGTGGATGCATCAAGTGTTGACATTCCTCTATAATGATCTTTACAGACCTTGAGAACTTAAAACTTCATGGCAACAATCTGTATTAGTTTGAAATAGCTGAACCAAAAGTGACACTTTAAAAGGAACTCAATGTTTATGAACAATATTCCTAAAGTGTTTATTTCTTCAACTGTATTTGACAAAATGCCTGCTAATTAATATCACTGCTTCTTGAAAATCATTGGATGATGAATATGTTTTAGTTTGTGTACGCTATCCCAGTGATCTGACTGGGTTTAGTCCCCGGGTTTTATTTTCACTATGCCGAATCCTGTTCCATAGTTTGGAAAGGAGACTGTGAGCAAGTTCTCCTCTCCACAGTGTTTTTCAGTACTGAGGATTGAACCCAGTGCCTTCCCTCTTAGCCTCATCCCTATTCTTTTTTTGTACTTTGAGACAGGGTCTCACCAAGTTAAGTTGCCCGGGTTAGGATCAAACTTGCAAATGTGTGACCCCTTGCTTCAGCCTCCCAGAGTGCTAGGATTACAGGTATTTTCCACCACAGTTGGCCACATTTTTTACTTTGAAAATTTCTCAATGTGGAATGTACATTAGCCAGACTGTTGGTTGGAAGTTATTAAAATACAAATGTTTTCTACCATCACCACCCCCACACACATACAGAAAGTGCACAGAAGAAAAGTCTGGAGTGAACAGGGTTGTATGGGCCTGGCCATACAGAATTGGAATTCTCAATTCAAGTTCTATCTGCATGTCCACTTTATCCTTGTGAAGGCTTCCATATGGCAGGGGACGTGGACTCCAGTATCTCTGGAAAAGCATCCTCAAGTCTCTTGGCAAACAAAGGACAAAGATCCATAAGGAGAACTTGATTGGACGGCTTGAAGCACAGGCCTCCTCCTGACCCCGCAGGGTGCACGGGTGCTGAGTTGCTCATCGAGGGCTGGGGACAGTACTGTAGTAGGGAATGGAGGTTCTTCAAAGAAAGATAAGCAACACTATTACTGGAAGAAGATGGTGATGAGCGAGCTCGGACAAAATAACACGTTCACATGAGAATCATGACTGTTCCATCTGATGGTGGTGATGCTTCTATACGTGAGGACTTTATAACTTACAGAACATTTCACAAGTATCATATCTGCATTCAAGGATATGCTCTTAGATGATCATGGAGAAACAAGCTGAGTCCGGGAGGTAGCCTGTTCTATAGTAGTAATTAAACATTTAACTATGATTAAGGTTAAATAAAGAGTATTCAACGTTTAAGTAGGGTTTTCACATCACCCTGTTAAAACTGTGATTCCATTAAATTTTAATTTTCTGCAAAAATATTTATATAATAAAGTATTTAAGTCTACGAATGAACAGGTGCAAATGACTTGAAAGACCTTCCTATTAGTACACTTGACAAAATTTGCTATTCATCTTCAGTCATCCTAATTTCCTAGCCTTTCTTGCTCACTGACAAAACCTGAACTGATGGAGGAACATGAATTAACTAGCCCAGTGTTTTCTTCTCTTTCACCAATCACCTCCAGTCGAGTGTGTGAGGTGACTCTCCCTGTTTTAGAGTGATTACATCTTGGTGGAACCAGTGAGCTCCTTACTTCAATTCTGTGGTTTTCATTCAATCTTTCATTTATTTGTAGGCCTAAAAGGTATCCTGGAACAGTAGAAATATGGGAGGACCTGCATCCAGAAAAGCTATGGTTTTAATTAGGTTTTTCTGCTTTCTGGTGGGTGATCCTGGGGGTCCCTGGGAAGCAGACCTACTTTGTCTGATAAGCGATATGCTCAGGTGTAGGACCTGTTGCCTGTATGGATTGTGGTGATCTGAAGTTGCTGTAGGTCAGCTGAGAGGGCAGTTGGGCAGAAGAGCTTGATGATGAGGGAAGGGTGGAGCAGGGGAAACGAGGATACTGGGACCCGTGAGGACAATCTGGAAGCCACACGCACAAATTAGAACCTGGTCCATTTTTCACCGCATCCAACCCCGTGACTCAAGTGTCCTGCCAAAGGCAGCCTGTGGCTGCATTTAACCCTAGCTCAGGAACTGGAGAAGGGGAAGGAGGAGATCCATGGTCCCAGGCCACCAGGCAAGCCAGTACTGCAGCAACCCTGAGGATAAGTTGCTCACCCCACACCCTACCCTGCACCAGCTTTAAAGCTCGTGGCTGCCCTTCACTTCTGCATCCAAGTCCAGCTCAATGTCTCTCTGTAAACTGTAATATGGATTCATCCAGGTGAGGGGATTCTGGGAAATGTAGTTCTAGCTTTGCTATACAGAGATTGTATAAAGACACTACATTGGTATGTCATTAATCCATCTGAGCTATAGTCTCCTCATCTATAATGTACAGTAGGTGTTTGTGTGCTGGGGGAATCCCTGATACATGATGGGTATGTATCTCAGCAGTAAAGCAATTGCCTAGCATGTGCAAGAGGCCTGGGTTTGATCTCTAGCCCTGTAAAAACAAAACAAACAAAAAAATAGTGACAAAACACACAAAAAATTGGCATTTGTTTAGTGTTCCAGAAATGTATCATATTAGGACTGACTTTAAACTTAGCTATCAGTTAAAACTATAACTACTACTCTTAGTACTTCCCAGAACTGTTCATGGGCCTACCACACCCAAGTTGCTGGAGATGTGTCTCAAATGCCAAAGCACAATTTCTGCTCTAATGCTACTTGACTTTTCATTAGCATTTGGTACACTTATTTACTACCTCCTTAATATGTTGGATCTGTAGGCTTTTGTGTCTGTATATTTGTTTGATTTTTTTCTTATCGATTCCTTCTTCTCCTCCCTTCACCTCTAAATGTTGGAAAAGGTTCTGTCCTTGGTCCTTCTATCTTTCCTCATGTATAGGTAATCTCACACTTTTCCATAGCTTTCAATAGCATTATATGCTGACGAGTCTTATATCTGTGGCTCTTTCAATACCTTCTCATCAGCTACAAAATCATACATCCAGCATCCAAGTGCTTACAAAGCATTTTCCCCACCTGAACGTCTGATATGTATCTCTAACTTTGCATATTTTGCAAAAGAACTATTGACTTTTTCCCAGCCATCCCCTCTTCTTCCATTATGTCATATCCCAGTGCCCCTCACTGTTCATTTAAAACAGTCTTGATTTTTTTCCCCTTAACTCACACAAAACAGCCAGTCCATTAGCGGGTCCTTTTTCTCCCCTTCAGAAGCACAGCCTTAACCTTACCTGGTTAGCACACCTCCATTACTGCAGCTGTCAGATAGCGGCACCTAGACTCCAGTAGTACACCTAGCCCTTATTTCACCCGTCGCATGCTCTTCAGACCAGCTTTCACAGAGGCCACAAGACAAACATTTGAAGCACAGGACAGATCACGTCTCTGACCTAGTTGATACTCTCCCAAGGATTTTATAATAGGAAAGAAAATTTTAAAACTCTGGAATCTCCTTTGGCTCACCAAATGATACACAATCTGCCTCCCTCAAACTCGGGTCACGTCTCTGCTGTCTTCATCTGTTGATCTCTGCCAACCTCGACCTTCCTTTCTGTCCCTCACACCTGTCTACCTTATTCTGCTTCAGGGCCTTAACATTTTCTGTTTCTCCTGCTTAGAGTGTTCTTCTCCTCAACCTTTTCAGAGTTGCCTCTTTCTCACAGTTCAGGTTGCAATGAAATAATCTGCTTTCATAGCTCCTTCCCCAACACTCACTAAAGCAATGACCATCCACCTCCCTCCTTTTAAGGCACTCTCTATCATACTATCCTTTTTTGTTATTTTTCTACGACATTTAACAGCATCTAACAGTAGCTTATTTTTGTGCCTGTCTCCCAGCAGACTTCTAGTGCCAGCGTCTTTGTTTCTCTTATTCTTTATAACACCCTCTGTGGGAGACTGCAGTATTGATTATGCCCAACCAAGCTGTAAGCACTGCAGGCTGTAAAGAGTTAACCTCTCAGTTGGGTTATAGAAGTGAGTTTGGCCAAAGCCTTTGTACAGAAGTCAGAGTAACTCCCACCCAAATTCTGTTCTCCAGTTAAAACTTTCTTAACCAGAAGGACAATGATCTAATTACAACCATATATTTTGTCTATTCTGTTCCTAATTCAAGAATGCTCTGTCTTTCCCTTTTACAAGCCTTGCCTCCACTGGTTTCCATAGAAACTGCACAACTGCACACCCTTGCGTAGAGCTTGCCTTTACCCCAACTGATTACCAATAAAAATCAGTAGCCTGAATTGGCCAGTGCCTTTGTTGGTTGCACTGGCATTGGTCATCCTGGCTCCCCACTTTCTGTCTCTCTTAGTTCTTTTAGTTTTTTTCCTTCAGTCCTGCCTCATACACTGAGCAGGAGACTGGAGCCTCCTGCAGAGGTTTCCAGTAATGCGGCAGGGGTTGACAGTAATCCTCAGTGCCTGGAACAATGCATGGTATAGTATAAATGTTCCATAAATATTTTCCAATTCCTGATTCAATCATCAGATCTTGAGTATCCACTGTCTACACATCCCCAATACAAACTCTTAACTTTCATTGTTAAGAATGACATAAAAACTGAGGAAAATCTAGCTAAGTGATTACAAAGAGGTTAGCATTCAATTAGTTAATAAGACACATTTATTTAAGACTAACTGGATTGATTGTTTGCTTTCATATTCAGAAAAAAATTGTAGTTTATTTTTGCACTTACAGATGAAGAAACTGAGGTTTGGATATTATAAATGGCTTGTGGTCCACGGTAACACAAATCAGGTACTGAAACCTTGTTGGCCTGTCCGTGAAATGACGCCCACCAAGGCTGTCTCTAAGGGCTGACAATTTGTCTCGCTGGGTCCAGAGTCTGCCCAAGTCCCTTAGATCATGAGCAGGGCAGGTGACCAGGAAGGATGGAGGGGAAGTTGTAGCCCTGATAAATTCTCCTTCTGACTTCCCCAAACACATTCTACTAAAAAGAAATTCCCCACTAAAGGTGCTCCCACCCTTCCTGTTGCTCCTGTTTTAGTCTAGTATAAGAGAACATTTATCTCCATGAACCTCCTTTTCATGATTGTGTGGCACATACACTTACATTTGAGTGTCAGGCTGAGAGGCAAGTGGAGCATCAAATACCACTGTAGGATGAGACAACTTGAAAGGTGTGACAGTGCTTTTCATGTCATGTTAGCTTCCCACCCAATCATCAGAGTCGCTTAAGCTGCCATTCTCTAGCTGGGAGCCTCTTCTTCCCCATCAATCTATGGATCTCCTTCCTATGGTTGTACCAAATTCGGAAGAAGGGCCATTTTGAAGACGCAAACAGTCCCTGGGAAGACTGATGTGAGAACAGATTATCAGGGGACAGGAATTTTGATTTAAGTTTTGGAGACTTGTAGAGCACAATATTTGAGTAGCTACTATTGGTAATAACCCCACTGGATACCTAGCATTGTTCTAGATGAATTAAATTTATTTACTCTTTCTTTTAACACGTACAAAAATGGGCATTATTTTTATTTTATGAAGAGGAAACTGAGTGAGTCTCAGTGGGTTGTAGGTTGTGTTTGCCTAAAGTCTTATTAGTATTAGACTGGGCTGAAAATGACAGGAACCTAAGAACCAAATGCAGGTTTTATTTCCCTCTCACAGCCACACAGAGCGGTAGGGTAGCTTCACAGTCCTCACACTCTGGGGCTGGTGTTGCTCTGCTGTCCTCCATACGAGCTTTCCATCTGATGATCTGATGCCATGGTTCTAGCACCAGCATTCTTGGCCAACTGCTTGCTTGCAGAATAAAAAACACAGAGAAAGAGAAATTCCACTTCTCTCAAGGATACTTCTTAGAAGTTAAAAGCACCACTTCTACTTGAGCAGAGTGTAATTTCAAAGTTGTGCCCAGCTACCAAGCAGACTGGGAACAGTCTACAGTTGGTAGGCATATGCCCAACTGAATTCAGGGTTTATAATTGAGGACGAAGAGGAAAATGTGTAATGAAGGAAAATTAGCAGTCTGCCATGATAGGGACAGAAGCTCGGGGCTGTGTGATTCCAGAGATCATAACCGTTCTGCCCTCCGGGGCCACCCCCTAGCACCGGAACTGTAGGGTGCTTGGCAGAGTCTCCACGGTGGCCTGTGTGCCTCAGAAACTTCGAATAGAATATGCAGGCTGCAGGACAGGTCCTAGTTATTTCCTCAAGTTTTTGCTCTCTCGGCATTTTGAATACTTTTACATATTTATTGCATATGTTTTCATTTTTTCTGAATCAAGCACTGGCTAAATGGTAACGTTTATGGTATGCATGACTGAATTGAGAAGCAACTCAGTTTTGTTCGTATATTCTCAGTACACTGTCTAGCATTTTACAAGTGTTCAACAAATATACGTTTACCGAATGGGTGAAAGGGTAGCTGGAGAGCGAGCAGTTTTCTTCTCTCAAATTTTATTTTTTATTATTTTGGATAAGCACAGACTGCCTTCTCAACTCACCCTTTTCTCCTCAGGTATGGGAGAACAGGGAGAAAAGAAAAACAATAATGAGAAAAGTGGAAAGAAGATGAGATGTATTTATTATGTAAGTAGTATTCTCATCTCCTACTTCCACCTCTCTCTTTAGTATTGATGTCACGAGCATACCTTTTCTACCAGAATGGAACTCCATTACAAAGGGCTTTCTTGGGAGAAGTCCTAAGTATGCCACATCCAACACTGATGATTATCGGGCTTCAGAGTTCAGAAATGTCTGGAGAAGTTGCAACTGGTGTTATTAAGTCAAAGTTTATGTGCTTTCTCTCTGTGCTATCTTCCTCAAAAACCTAAGTGGAGGTTTATATTTCAAGCCCTAAAAGTGAAATAAAATTTTAAAACTCCTCTCAAGGTGGTACTGGTAAATTCATAGTTATTTCAACTCCACAAAAACCAAGCATCATCATATTCCCCATGCAAAACACCAGCAAGAGCCACTGGCATGGTTTGAAATAAACACTCAGTACTAAATGACTTCATCAAGCTATAATCCTTATGCTCAGCAATTTAGAGGAAATCAGCAGCTTAACCAAGTTCTTTCTTTTGCTGAGCAATTGGGGGCCAAAAATAAAACAATATTACATCAAACTGCAGACAAACAAAAATCTGAATACATTTGCTATCTTCTCAGGGCCTTTCTGTACCCAGTGAGCACAGCAGAGCACAGCAGAGCCCAAAGGTGTTAAGATATTTTCACCGTTGTGCAGTGGGGTGGGGGATCATCCGGTCAATCCTGGGAGCATCATCAGTTCTGCTGGAGAAAAGTGGGGGAGAGGTCAGAAGAATGTGAATGTATTCCTCCCAGTGAAAGGGAGACCTGCTACACTTCTTTGACCTTTTTGAATGAAGGGAGGGTGCATTACCTGTGTTAACTAGCATGTTGCAAAAACTCCTTCTGGACTGCTAAATACCTTCCTGTGATTGATGGGAAATATATTTGTAAATATGACGTGCAGAACTCTGTTAGAAAGAGTGAGTTTAACAAAACTGTGTGTTCAAGTCCATCTAAAATGTGAAACAGCTTAGCCAGGCGCAGTGCACCAGTCTTTTTAATCAGCACAAAAGGTGAACATTTGTCTTATCATCATAATGTCTTATCATCATTATCGACGATAATCAAAGTGCCAATAAGCTGTTAAGATCAAGTTCACAGGGCCAGCGCAAGGTGAATTGGAGATTTCTGTGTTCAGTGAAGGTTCATTCTGAGGAGATCTTGAGTCATTTACCTGAGTCTCTGGAATTGTCAAACTGCCATGGTCAGTATTTCTCATGAACATTATGCTGGAGAACTGGATCCCAAGGAAAAGCTAGATTTTTAGAGTGAGGGGCTGGAATATGAAATATAGTACATGCTGTATTATGTTTAAGTCAGAAGAGAAGGTGAAGGTGTGGGTTGTATGAATGAACACTTATGAGCTATTCTGTGAGTGTTATTATAAATATATGTGGTACAATATGCCATAATAATTTTATTTCATTCCTAAACAATGTTCCCTTGCATCCTTTCAACTCATGGCTAAATATGAGGCTCTTTGCTCTAGAAAAGAGAGGACACATTCTACTTAGTAAAAGACTCATAGATCACAAAATGTATAGCAACTCTTGAAAATCAGGCTTTTTTGTAAGGAAGTTTAAGAATTTCTCTATTTCTTATTGAACAGATCAAGTGCCAGACTTCATGGGACTCCATTATGCTTAGGGAATATCTTATTTATCTCAGACTGCATGACAAAATATCATAGACTGAGTGGTTCAAAGCACAAATATTTATTTCCCATAGTTCTTGAGAGTGGAAGTGTGAGTTCAGGATGCCAGTGTGGTTAGGCTCATGGTGTGGGACTTTCCTTCTAGTTCAAAGATGGATTCCTCCTTTTAGAGGGGGGTAGGGGGAGGGAGGGAGGAGAGAGAGAGAGAAGGCTAATCTCTCTTAAGTGTACTGATTTCAACAAGGGGGCCCCACCCATATGCCCTCAACCTAATTTATTTGCATCTCAAATCTTTCACCTCTGAATACCATCACATTTGAGCTTAAGGCTTCAACATGAATTTTAGGAGAACAGAAACTTGTTGTCCCTAGTAGAAAGACATAACCCAGGATAAAGCACTCAGGTGCACAGCAAGAAGAGGGACAGAGACAGAGCCAGCAGGAGGCACTTTGTACTCCTCAGTTTTCCCTTTTTGAAGCTACACTCTGATATGAGACATCAGAAACACAGTGATACCTTGTTCACGAATTTAGTTTGTTCTACCATTTTGGAAAAGATAGTCACATTTGGGTTGGTGAGGGAAAGATGGCTGTGGTCACGTTTGCAACCAATACGGAGTTGGCAAACAAAACAAAATTTTGCCAAATGCTCCGTGAACTGAGGTACTGCTGTTGTATCTAGATACAGTTTTAGTATTATGGAGCCTAGGTGGATGTATTCTGCACAGAGCTGAAGAAAAGCTGTAAGTCCAAAGAGGTCCCATGAGTCACCTCTTCCACGATGCGACAGGAGATGGCAAAGGGTCAGTGGAAGGGATCCTGGGAGGTGAATATAGGTCGGCAATCTGAGCCTATGCTCGGAGAACACGGGTATTCTCCTATGTCCTAGTGAGTTGGTGCACACACATCTTAGTCACGTTCTCCTCACTGAGACAAATTACCCCACATCCACAATTTAAAGTATGAGCGGTTTGTTGTGGCTCATGGTTGCAGTCCATGACTGGCTGGCTGTGAGGCAGAAATGACATGGCAGAGAGGCACAGTGGAGGGGAGGTGCTTATTATAGGAAGTGGTGAGTGAGGGGAGGAGCTTGGGAGGGAGATTTACCCTTCCAGGTCACAGCCCCAGTGATGCACCTCTCACCAGGCCCCATCTTCTAACGGTACACTCATCTGAACGCATTAGTGGATGAATCTACTGCTTAGTATATTTCTACCAGGATCCAATAACCTAAAAGTCTCTCACCTCTGAGCAATGAGAGTTTGGGGGGACTTTCTAGATCTAAGCCATAACATTCTGTCCTTGTTTCCCAAAGACTCATGTGTATCTCTCTATGCAAAATGCATTTAGCCCATCTGTAAAAGTTGACAAAACTTTAATAGTTCTATCATTGCTGAAAAGTCCAAGTCCAAAAGTTTCCTTTGAGACTCAAGGTCAATGCTTAGTTATAAACTCTATAAAAATCAAAAAAGAAAGTTAAATACTTCTAGCATACAATGGCATAGGATAAACACGCCCATTCCAAAACTGAGAAGCAGGACTATAGAAATAAGTGAAACAAAAGTAAAGGCCAAAACCCAGCAGGGCAAAATTGAATCCTGCAGCTCCACGTCTGGCACCTGGGCCCCATTGTGGCAACATGTGTGCTAAAAATTGGGGTGGCAGCGGGGGGACTGTCCCTATGGCTTTGCCAATTTTTGCACTCACGGCCTGTCCCTTGGGCTACACCATTCACTGCCTAAGGCATTTCTCAGAAGACATTCTGTTTCTGACATCTCCAAATTCCTGGAGTCTCCACTGTTCTTTTAGCTTCACTATTATAGCTTCAGACGTTGCTCTCTCAGTACACTGCCTGGCCTCCAAGGCCTTCTAAATTCTGAATGGAAACCTCACTTGTCCCACAACTCTTTGATTCTATGTACCCGTAAAACCAGCATCATGTAGATGATGCCCAATTCTGCTGTAAGGTCTAGCAGTAGCTAGGCCCTCTTGTATCACGGCTGCAGTGTTTGTGTGTTTCCCTAGCTTGGAGCGCTTAGTCCTGTGAAACTAATCGCAAGAAACCAAATCCCTAGGTGGCCCTCTCAAGCAGGGAACAGTGGGACTGTCTTTTCAAAATGAAAGCTTTGCAGTTTCCCACCCTTGTACCTGTGATGGGTGGGGGTCTTGCAGATTTCTAGCATGACTTCAAACCATCTTTCATATTTTACTGATATATTTCCTATTTGGCTTTCTGATGCTAATCTTTTTAGTAATTGTGCTCTCCGTTGTTTCAATGCTGTAGGTGCTTTCTCTCAGGTGAAACTACAAACTTTTTGATGGGTTTTGGCTCTAGTTTCTCACTTTAAATTTGACTAAAAGTCTCCACCAGTACTCATGCCATAGCCTGAATGTTGGACTACTGTGAAATTTCCTCTGCCAGATTAATTATTCTGATGCCCTTAATCGCAGTCTCCTGAAAAGTCTCAAGATATGGGCAAAGGTAGGCAAATTTCCTACCAGAGCGTAGCACAAATGTTCTCGGGTCCAACTACCAATGGAGTCTTTACTGCCTGCATTCCTACCAGCATTCTGGTCTTGAGTTCCAATCAGAATCTCTCATCAAACTCAACTTATGGCATTCTACAGCTTCTGTAGATGACATCTCCAAAACTTTCCAAACTCCTCCTGAGAACCAGTTCCAAAAGCTTCTGAACCATATGATCAGGTATAGTTATAATAGCCCCACTTCCCTGGTACCAAAATCTGCCTCTAGAACACGAATCGCTGAGGGACACACTCAAGCACATCTACAACACAGAACTTGCTTCTGCAGTTCTAAACTGGGAGTGCACCAAGGATCCAGAGATGGTCCTTGAGGGTCTCCCCAGTGTTGACATTTGTGTCTGTCTTACCTAAGGAGAACATGCTGGACAAAGAGGAGAGAGTTTGCCCAACATCTAACTGCTGGCCACAGACCCTGGCTGGGGATTTAAGTCATTGCATGCCCCCCATAGTCGGAAATCATCATTCTGTGTCCTTGGTGATGCTGTGTGGTGGCTTTAAGAAGACACTGTAAGTGTTAATATATATTTATATAAAATTACTGGGCTAAGTGGATAAGTAAAACCTTAGGCCTCAGAAACAGCTCAGAGGAATGTTAGGCAGATGATCTCTTTCATAAACATATCCACATCTGTTCACCTGATCCCTAAATTCACCCTTAAATGTCTGATTTTGGTTTAAGTGGAAAAAGAAGTCTGTGTGCTGGGAAAAGATCTTGACCAGTGATAATGACTGTGCATTTGGGGCATTTCTCTCACAGCATGGGTCATGCGAACTTCTCAGCACGGCACTGACTTACTGGAGCAGTGAGAGGGAGTCTAAGACAGAGTCATTAACATCTCATCTGTTGAAGGGGAAACCAGCTGACTACTTGAGGACAAAGCCGCAAGCAGCTCTACATCCCAATCTATGGATTGTCTTCTCTCTTGATAGTTTCTTTCCACGCATTTAACTTTTTAATTTTTATTGTTTAATTTATCTATTTTTATTTGTTGCTTGTGCTTTTGATGTCATATTTGAAAAATGGTTGCCCTAGTGGAAGACATGAAGTTATGTCACAGCTGTTTCCTTCTGAGAGTTTTATAGGTTTAGCCTTTACTTTTAGACAGGTATTTGATCCATTTTCAGATGACTTTTATATTTGGCAAGACATGCTAAATCACTCTTCCATGTGTGTATTTAGTGGCTCCAGCATCATATACTGAAAGGACTGTTATCTCCCTCATTGAATGGTCTTGGAACCCTTGTGGGATACTTGCTGACCATACATGTAGGAGTCATTTGCGGACCTTCAGTTCTGTCCCAGACATATATATGTACAATTACACCAGTCTTTTGACTACTAGAGTTTTGCAGTAAGTTTTGAAAACAGGAAATGTAAGCCCTCCAACTTTGTTCTTAGTTTAGTAAAATACGGTTTAATTACTTAGATATGTACATCTTCTTAAAATAATTTTAAGGTAACATGTGTTTATACAAACTAAAAAACTATATGTTTTAGTTCCCAAATAGATGAACAGATGTATTATATATATGCATATAGACACATTTGTAAAACTGAAAGGAAATGTTTCAAAATGTTGTAAGGAGGTCAGCAAGGAGGGGTAAAGCTTCTCCCTTTGTTTTCTTTCTAAATTGTTAAGTAAAACTTTAAGTTGTTTTAACCACAAAGGGACCACAAAGACATTTATCTCTCTATTTTCAGGCTTTGTTTTGTTTTATCTCATGTTTACTTTAATGTTATGTCTTTTAGAATAATCTAATTTGATTTTGATATCTTAAAACTTTGTCAGACTGTTTTATTTATTACTGCATTTAAGTTCATATTTGGTAGGACCAGTTTTCATCGATCACTTTTCCTTTTGTAATCTTTGTTAGCATCCAATGTGCACTTTTTGCCCCCCAAAAGTCTTATCGTCACTTTAAATTTTTTAAAAAATCCATTGATGTTTGAATTGGAATCACATTAGACTATAAATTATTCTGACATCTTCATAATACTCACTACTCCATCCAAAATGTCATCTATTGCTCTGTTTTTACGAACTGCAGCCAGGGCTTGTGATTTTCTTCATGTGGGCACTGCACAGAAGCCCATCTCTCAGGTTTTCATTCTTGCTAAAATTGTAAATAGGATTGTTTTATTGTGTTTTTTTCTCTTACATATATATTCTCACTGATAGGCAATAACATATTTCAATTTATATTTTGGCCTCAAATCTATGCCTCCATAGGTTTTCAGCAGGTGCTTTGGAGTGTTAAGTTTAAATCACATTATCTGTGTACTGTTATTATGTTGTCTCTTCATTTCCATTTTTTCCAAGTACTAATGGGCAGTTTAGAACCTTAAATGATGTAATAGTAGGTACAAAGGGAAACTTTATGCTTTTTTGTTGGGAATGCTTAGTTGCTGGCAAAAAAAATTGGTTCAAAAATCTATATTTTTCTTTTTTTTTTTTTTAGAAAACATCCTTCTGTTCCTTATTTGTTAAGAGGTATTTTAAAGTAAAGAATCAGGAGGAGCTCTATTACTATCTTGTTATTGTCTTTTGAAATATTCATGTGCTGTTTCTCCTTCCAGTAACTTTCATACATGTAGGTATGTATTTTCTAGTACATACCATCTTTACCGTGCTGGAAGAGATTTTATTTGGTTGTAGTGAATCACTTGTTTTATCTCCTACTAAATTTATTTGCTCATATAGCATTTAAAATTTTTCATATATATATTTTCATAAGAAAAACTGGCATGATATTTTTATTGTTATTATTTGGTGTTATCAGTGTTATCTCCTGGTATTGTGGATACGCTGGCTTTATTGATCACAAAGAAGCATTCTATCATTTTGTGTGCTGTAGAATAGTTGGCAGGATTTCGGTCTATCTGGTGCAGTTTCCTCTCTCTTGCTCCTTGGTGCACACTTTCTCTGGTGTTCATCCCCTTTCAGCCATTGAAGAGTCAGGGGTGAAGTGCTGGCTGACACTGAGTCCCCACAGCCAGTGCAGGATCGCGTGTGTCCCCAGAGTCCACTGTAAGTGCCCTAACAGGTATTCACCAAGAGCCCCATATGAATCAAAGACACCCAGCCACAAATTGTCCAAAAAGCCCAACCAGGACTCTGCAATGTCTGCCTCAGTGGGACTGTCATTCCAGGTGTTCAGCTGGAAAAACTCCAAGGAAACATCAAAGTCCCATGGAAAAAAAGGGCCAACTACTGTGTGACCACCACATAGTGGTCCTGCTGCCAGATGACAGTGTCCCTGGCAAGTAAGATCCCTTGCGTCTGCAGTAAAGTTCCCCCCTCTGTTACCAGACCTGCAGCATGAAGCCATTTGGGCACTTTGCCTGAAATAGGCCAGCATTGGAAGAAGGAAGAAAATTTAAATTAAATGAAAGTTGGAGTTTTGATATTATACTGGATGAAATTTGAATTATTTAATAGTTTCCTGTGAATATTTATTTCTAGAAAGCTCTAAAAGACTAGGGACCCTGTTGGAGCTTCTGTCAGAGGGATGGATTCCCAGAACAGAGTTAGAGGAGGCAGTGATGAGCAAAAGCAGCCCTGCCTCCTGCTTGCTTCCACGGGTCCAGCTCAGTTGGCAAGCAGGAGACACTCAGAGAGAAACCACAGAGCATGATGCTTTCTTCTATGCAATTACTTGAAAAATGCCTTACTTTTATTGCGCTTTGGAAGGTGGTAATCATATGGAATCCAAATCTTGGAAGTTGTAATTTCTTTTTATTGATAGATATAGTGTCTAATTGAACATAACAGAAGGACAAAGAAAGAGATAAAAGAGTGCAATAGAATGACTGACTCACATAGGATTTTGGCCAAAAACAGCTAGACATCAAAATAAATTTAGGGCAATGCAAAAGTACAATTAAGCATAATAATTTATAGTTTGTGAGAAAAAGCTTTTTTCTAGAACCCAAGATTCCTTTAAATATCTTGGGAGAATTATAATGAAGTACAACTTTTTTACTTTGAGGTCAAGATTTTAAGTATTCTAGCTATTTGTGCTCTTACCTTCTAGATCAGAACCTAAATTTAATTAGGGATGTTTGATAAGTCATGCAACAGTTAATATATTTCTTTATTTTGTATGCTATCTCTAAGGCCACTGAGAGACAGTAGAAAACTCACCTCAAATTGGTATTCATTCACCATGTCAAGGGGTCACTGGACAGCACTTCGCAGCAGCCTTGGGTCCTTGGGAAGTGAGGAGCTGCCAGACTCTCCAGGAATGGTGAGGTCTTCGGGGACATGGGCAGAACATGTGTGCAGCATTCTGGAGCTGGGTTTGAGAGGCAGAAGATTGCGATGGTTAGACCACAGCATCGGAAACCAACATGGCTGGTAGCCTTTTATAGTTTTGCTATTTTCAGTAGGAATTTTGAGCTTAATATGCCATGTGCAATATTGAGCAATATCAAATCAATAAAAAATAACATGCACTTTCTATTTATACACATAAACATGGTCTCAACAATTTGGGGGAATATTTAAATCTCTTACTGAAACACATTTTGGTCATTTTAGTTGCATCTTATTTTTTCCTAGAGTTAACACAATGATTAAGCACCTGTCTCCCCAGGGAATTCTACAATAAAAGGCCTCTTTCCTCCTGCAGCATCGTCTCTTAGCTCCTATCTTTGTCACTTTACAAGCAAGAGTCCAACGGATGTGAGGACGACCTGGCTGCAACATCTGTCACCCCACCGATCACCAGGGTTGATTCGGCCGATCTGGCTGGCCCGGTGATGTCCCCTTCCTCCCTCACTGCTCCATGTGCGTCCCTCCAGAAGGTGCGCGCTCAATCGAAGAGGACAACCACCCGCAATAGAGGAGGACCGTTTCCTCCGTCAAGGGTATGTGAGTAGCTGTGCTCCCCTGCTAGAAACTCCAAACAAACTATCAAGAGTCCAAGCCTTACTGGCAATTCACATTACAGAAAAGCACATCTTTTTTGTGTGGAATTTGGATTTAATATGATGGGAGAAAATTGCGTTTTCAAGCTGGTCAAGAGGGAGAAAAAAGGTTAAGAAAATTCTGTGAACGGAAGAGATAAATTAAAGGCAGAAGTAAAGGAAATAATCCTTTTGTTCCAAGACCGGTGTTAAAGCTCCTTAAAGGTGTCTTCATTCATTAGCTTTTCTTCTTACACATTTGCAGGACTGCCCTCCCCCAGGCAGGTAAAGAAAATACACGTGAAGGGTTTGAGCTGTTTCTGTTGTTTCTAAAAATTCTGAAAGTGGGAAATTTACTGTTTCACTCAAAGTTTTTATAACCATCTCCCTAAGTATGAAATAGCTTCAGGGAGTTGTATTTTTCTGCTAATTTGTTGCTAAGTATTTCAGTCTGTGAGTTTTAAGGGAGCCTGGAGATCTCTTAGCAAATTGCAGGAACTTCCTAGGAGGCTTCAGGAAGAAAAAGCAGCCATTTACCATTCTTGCTTAATTTAGAGAAATTCAGTAACATCTCTGTGCACTCTATTTTCCTAGATATTGAAAATTTTCATGTCTGTGTGCTCAATAATTCAAGTTGAGCTTAAAATGGCCATGTTTTACTTTCCAAGGATTATCCTCGGGGAGCCAAGGGTTTTAAAAATTGACAGCCATGAAAACTCCCGGGCCTTCCTCCAACTGTGCATGCAGAATCCTATCTCTACCAAAAACTAAGCCCAGCCAGTGCCACGGGAGGTGCCCGCGAGTGTCCCCACAGTCCTTGCGAGTCACATCACACATTACAGTCAACTTTAGAGCAATGGGGCCATCTAGATGCCAAATATGGAAGGACTGAAAGGTAGAAGTCCCTTCCTGGACTCATTTCCAAGATTCCTTAAGGTCTAGAAATTAAAAGGGGCACAAGGAGGCTTGTACAGGAGTTTCTTTAGCAGATGATCAGGCTCAATGACTTTCCTCCATAAAGCACATTAAGTATTAACTCAAGTAGTTATGAACAGTTAAATTATGTATCATTAAAATTATATTTTATGAATATTTTGTTCTAATGATGAATACGTTCTGGTTATATATTAAGCCAAAGTAGGACTTTTCCGCCCAAACCTCTAGAAATGCCTCTAGCAAATCTGGGTTTTATTTCTTCCCAATCTGCAGTATGCAGTTTCCACTCATCCTCTCTGGGGTCGGTTACAGAGAGTATCCATCCTTTCCAAGCATCTCTGGTCGGGTTAGCAGGCCCCTCAGGGGTAAACATTATATGCACCCCAAGTTTAGCCAGAAGGTCTCTTCCCAGGAGAGGGCCAGGCACTCGGGCAGACACAAAACTCGTGGACCACTTCACATCCCCTAACTGTCAGGTCTGTGCTTGGCTAAAGGGCCATGCCATCTGGACTCCAGTTGCCCTCACAACGGTGGTGTCTGTCTTGGTCAAGGGGGCTACTGGGGTGGGGTGGTCGCTGCAGAGTGTTCAGCTCCTGTGTCAACCACGAAAGTTGTAGGTTGGCTCCCAACTGTCATTTCAGCCATGGATTCCCAGGGACCCAGAGTTAGGGAGCCTGGTCTATCCTAACCTGGCTTAATCTCTGCAAGTCCAATCAGACCAGGCAACTGGGCTCATGCTGGTCATAAGAACCAGTGCCACAGTTGGGAGCTTTCCAAATGAGCCCCAGAGGATTGGGTTGGTGGTTGGAGCCGGTGAAGTCAGAAGCTTTTTGGCTTGGGGGGCTTTGCTTTTGGTTGGGGGATTCATTTTTCCAATGTCTAAATTTTTTACAATGGGCACATTGGTCTGGGCACAAGGGGGTCAGTAGTTGGTTCCCTCCTTGCATGGTAATCCTGGCCTAGAATTAGGATCTGGTTTTCTGAGCACAACCATGAGGAGGGGACCTTTGTTTTATTTTCTTTTCCACCTCTCATTGGGCTTCATAGTCTCAGTTAGCACCTCAAGCAGTAGGTGGCATTCATGCAGGTGAATCCCTCCAGCTTTTGGAGTTTGCGGCAGATGTCAGGAGTGGCCTGGGCCACAAAACCAATGCTGACCATGGGTCACTCTGGATCCAAAGGAGTGAAGATGGGGCAACGCCTCACAGAGTCACTTTTGAAGTCACCCCACCGGGTGACTCGCCTGACTTCTGTAACACAGAGACAGTCTGGATTCGTTAGTTGGCTTTTGGGCAGCAGCACAGACCCCTTGAAGATGGCCCTGCAGTATCTTGCAAGGGCCTCTTGTCCCGCTCTAGTGTGAAAGTCCCACTGTGGCCTGGTCTCAGGAAGCATCTTCTTGGCCCAATCTGCTAGATCTTGGCCGGTCGGGGGGAACAGACCTTGAAGGTACTTTCTGGCCTCAGTGATGATTCTATGCCTTGCTTCAGTGTTGAGCAGGGCGTAGAGCACTGGCAGCAGTCATCCCAGGTGGGCAGGTGGGTCTGGAGTACCTGGGGCTTCTCAGAGTATGGTGGAGTGCGTTGTTTCCACTTCAGAAGATCAGTTGTGGTGAAGGGCTGGTAGTAGAGAGTGGCTCGTCTTGAGCTGGAAAATTATTTCTGAGCAAAAAAGATTTTTCCTGTCACTAGCTGACCTAACAAAGAGCCAGTCCCCTCCCCCTGTTCATACCCCTCCCACTCCCAGCACATGTCCTCCTTCATTGTCTTCTGTTCTCAAGAAGTGTCTGTATCCAGTGTACTTTTCTATCAAATCATGTAAACTAAATGTAACTTCCTCAACCTTGGACTGATAATAAATGCCTTAAACTGAAGATAAATGCCTTGCTTCTGTATCCCCAGCCCCTTCCATTAACCTATATAAACCCTGTCCACTGATCGCTTTGTGGAGAAATCCCTGTCTAGTCCACTGGTGTAATAAACTTGCCTCCAACCTCTGGGTGCGTTCTTGATTTTTCTTGGCCTGATCTTGCAATACCACTAAGAGCTGCCATACTGTGGACTGTAAGTTTGCCGTTACAGTCTGGGCTGCACACTGCTATCTTCCAGGGTGGCGAGTAGAAGTCGGGTTTCACAGACCAGCAGCTGCACAGTTGGGGCTTGGGCCAACCACAGACACCTGATGAGAGGTGTCTCAGGAGAAGCAATCTCATCGCCATGTGGGATGGCGGAGGGACTGGAGGCTGAAGCTGTGAGAGGTAGATAAAGACAAGGGCTGGCCAGAGATGGAGATGGGCCCATCCAGGGCTTCAGAGTGGTGCGGCTGCATGGACAGGTGGAGGGCCAGAAGGTGGACTAGCAGGCGGGGCTGGTGGTGGGGCATTTGAGGGGGGTGGGCTCTCGGAAGAACAGAGGCCAAAGGTGGAGCTGCAAATGGTGGCTCAAGGAGATGAGGTGGTGGCAGAGAATCTTCTTCTGGTAGACCCTGATAAACTGACTTTTTCAGGGTCTTGGAGAGGTGGCCGTTTTATGGAAAAAAACACATGGGGTGGGGAAGGCAAAAGCTTGTCCTGTTGTATATTATTGCTTCACAGAGGGGTTTATAAAGTATCTTAAGATGTACTGAAATATATCCAAGCATGCTGAATGGATGACTTACCATATTTCTTTGCATTCATTCTGCATTTTAATGTTGCTTTGCTTTTATGCATCTTGTAATAAATGTCACAGTGAACGTGATGGTGATAATATTCTTGCTAAGTACCTTCGTTGAATCAAGGCTATTTCTTAAGTATGCATCATCTAAGAACAGAGAAGGGATGCTAACCAGGATGAAGACAAATAGTCACTTCTCTTGGAACTTCTCCCAGTGCGGCTCTCCACCCTCTCCCCACCCAGCCACATATCAGGAGGATGACTCTCCTGCTATTCATTTCTCCACCTTGGAAGCCACACACCATCATGCCTGCCCTCCTTGTTGAAGCAGTCACAACTTGGCCATGTTTGTGGGTCAACACAAGGCCACACAGTAGGACAGCATGTGGGATGGAGGATTCTATGGTGGTCACCCTTGGAGGATGCAGTCTGGCAAACGTCCCCTACAAAGAAAACTTAATAGAAGACCAGGATCATGTCTAAAGAAAAGAAAGCAACAAGGGTGATGATCGAAGAGCAATAAACTGTTGTTTATCTGGTGATGGCACAGCCGATCACACCAGTGAGGGAATCAGAGGAGCTGAGTATGCAGCGTCTTTCAGCACCAGGGAGACACAGCCAGGTGCTCACGGAGTGGTAGCTCTTGCCAACCTGCCAAGGGAGGAGCGGATTTCAGAGTGCACATGAGCAGTCGGCATGTGCTTCTCAGCCAGCTGTGGTATAGGGTGTTATGTTCTCGTGTTGCCCCAGCCTCAGATATTGGCTGGTGGCTCCTTCCAGGGGACTCCACCACCCAGTTCTCTCGCTATTGCCAGTTGTTTATGTTGCCTTGTTCTGCACTTGGCCTGGTCAGTGGTGCCCGTCAGTGGCTCGGCGCTTGCAGAAATCTTTCTGGCAGAAGCTACAAAGGATCCCTTCTCTGGTGAACTTTAAATTTTTTTCAGGGATCCTGGGGTATCTGAATAGAGGACAAGAGGGAGTCGTGGCCACCTTTGCTCATTTCAAGGGTTGTGCCCCGGCAGGTTCTGTTAACATTTATGCTGTTTCAAGAGCTGGAATGTTGGATGATGGATTTGCAAGAGAACATGTTAGATGACGCTGTGAGTCTAATCAGAAATCATAGACCTCGCTGCTTTGGACAGATCTTTCTCCATTTGACTCTTCCCCAAACCCCAAGAACCAATGTCATATCTTAAGCAAATACCTTTCGTTGTCCTCAGAATTCAATTCCTTAAGATTGAGCCTGTAAAGATAAATGGAGAGAAAAAAAGACTAAATCTCTGAGGGTAAAACACAACCCAAAGTGAAATAGCGTCTTCACCAGAGCAACCACCAAACTCCCTAGCACCTTGCTGCTCTCCTGTCTCCATGGAGCACACTGTCTGCCCTATAATTTCTGTTCTTCAGCTAATTTGGCTCTTTAAGTGAAGAACCAGGCCCTTGAATGCAGTGCAAGCAGAGCCAGACCTAATTTTCTGCCTGTTCCAGCTCAGTTATCTCAAAGTTCGGGCCTCTAGTGGAATAAATTCCACAGGGTCTTTGGCCCTAGAGCAAGGCAGTGCATCAAACTGGACGTTCCTGCAACACCCGTGGACTTTGTCTCTAGCACCCAAGTGAGCCTTGTGTCTCACATATAAAGCACATACTACTGCCTCCAGGATGATCAGTGACCCCACAGCCCCGTGCACGTCAGAGACGTGCTGTGAAACAAATATGCAGCCTTCTCTGTGAGCACAGTGTACACTGCACCTGTATCTGTTTGGCTGATCAAAGACATGTACATTTATAGTGACCCAGGAAGAATGCGGAGGAATCTAAAGAAATCAGATTGCTGTTTAGGTGTCTGATTCTTGTGTATGTTCAAGTAAAGAAATAGAATCTGGAGAGGTTGCATTCACTTGACTTAGGGGGGATCGTCTCTGAAAATCTAATACATGAGATGTTTTGGCATTGCTAGGTATAATCATTCAGAGTAAATATATATTTTTGAAACTGTAACTGTTTATGTATATTTGTGTTTTATTTCTAACATCTTCATTCTTGCTGCTGAAAAGCTATATACTTCATATTAATCAGTTAACAGTAGTACCAAGATTTGGTCATTGGAAACCTAAAATATTTCATATTTGACAACGGGAAGAAAGTGGCAGAGAAAAAAAATAAGTGACCAGAACCTGCATTATGTACTTTTCACAGGAAATCTAATTATTAGAGGAGACTAAAACTTGGGCTTTCCCCACCCAGGGAGTGAATTACGGCCAGCGAATACAGGTGACGCCCGTCCTTCCAGCCCCAAGGAATGTCTGGCTTCTGGAGAGTCTCAGAACGCGGAAGTAACAAACAGTCTTTATTAATAAGGAATGGTCCTTTCCTGACTGAAATTTTAATCGCGAGCTACACACGTGAATCCTTTTAAAGAAATTGCTAGGGGCCGGGGAATTTCCAAGCCTAACTTCCGTTGGCCTGCAGCTTGAGCAAAACACACATCTGTTCTTTGATTGCACAGCATTTCGAATCAAAATAAACTCACACGGAGAGAGGCCTCGGTGGCGGTTTTGGCTCAGGTTTCCCTTTGTGTTGCGATTCTCCGAGACCAGAGGCAGCGCGGCTCCCGACCTCTTCCGCGATCTCCGAGGCTGGGCTGCAGCCACAAACCCGGGCCGCTGGGTGGCGCGCGAGG